CTCTGGGCTGAAGTGGTAGAGGGCTAGCCTTGAGCTGAAGAGCTGAGGGACAGCGCCCAGGCCCAGAGTTCAGGCCCCACAACTGATATTTAGCCAAATTGAGTCAATATTCATCTATTGAGTGCCTACTACGTGCCGGACCCTGGAATTTATGATTTTACCAATGTGGATCTTTTTTATTTTCTCCACAATGTTAGGATTTGGGATTGCCATTTTATTTTAAAGCTCAGGAACTGAGGCATAAGAAGCTAAGGAGACCTGTCCCAGGTCATATTGCTGGGAATATTGAAAATAGACTCTTTGGTCCCCAGAGCTAACACTTTTCCTCCCAGTCTTGCAGCTGCCTCTCCAGTTGAAGTTGTTGTGGAGACTGCAGTGAGCTGCTAAAACATGGGCAAAGGCATGCACCCTCATCCATCAGATGACAGCATTGCATTCGTCTAATTTTACCAGCCTATTTATATAGTGACATAGTATAAGTTGGTTCATTATAGACAAAGAGTGGTTGCTCTGCCTTCTTGCCTAATCTGGTTTAAATGTATTTTTAAAGAAGTCTCCTTCACAAGCCATTGTTTTACTTAATGAGGAAACACTGGAAGCTGTCCCAGTTACACAGGGAGAAGAAAAGCACACCTTTTTTTGGTGCCATTCCTGGGCTTGAACTCAGGTCCTGGGTGCAGTCCCTGAGCTTTTGTGCTCATGGCTAATGCTCTACCACTGGAATCACAGCTCCACTTCCAGAGTTTTGGTGGTTAGTTGAAGATAAAAGTTTCATAGACTTTCCGCCCTGGGTTGGCTTTGAACCATCATTCTCAGATCTGTTTCTTGAGTAGCTAGGATTATAGGCATGAGTCACCAGTGCCTGGAGAAGCATGCCTTATTATTGCTTCTCTAAGTTGTCATTTCTTCTGGTGTGTTGGCCTACTCAGTAAGATCCAAGAAAGAAATTAGTGTTGCAGGAATTGGAAAGGAAAAGCTAACACTATTTCTATTCTGAAATTGTGAACTTGAAAAAAAATGTGAAATTGTATTATAACTGAAATTCCCAAGAACCTAATAAAAACACAGTACAAATATTTATGAAAATTCAGTATACAGGATAAAATTAGTGTGTAAGAATACATTGCTTTCACAGAAGACAACAGCTGTCCATTCAAAATATAATGAAGAAGAGTTTCATCTTACTAAATATATTATATGCCCAGTAGTATGTATGAAATATGTAACACTTATATGGAGAATCCTTTTGAACACTTTCTTATCACCTAACATCATCAATAATCATAGCATCACTAAAAATGAAACAAACAGATATAGTACTAAAGCAATATAATATGAAATATACATCATCAAATATCATCAGTCCTTATGGAAAAGTATAATGTGATTCTCATCAAGCACTTAACAAGAAAATGGAGAGTAGAAGAATAAGTTCCACCATAGAAATCCAGAATGTGGGGGCTAGAAAAGTGGCTTAGTGGTAGAGCGCTTGCCTTGCATGCATGAGGCCATGGGTTGGATTCCTCAGCACCACATAAGCAGAAAAAGCTGGAAGTGGTGCTGTGGTTCAAGTGGTAGAACACTAGCCTTGAGCTGAAGAGCTGAGGGACAGCACCCAGGCCCAGAGTTCAGGCACCATGACTGGCAAAAAAAAAAAAGAAAAAAAAAAAGGAAATCCAGAATGTGTGGTATTTCACAGGGCAATTGATTTGTTCTTCATCAAATTAAAGACATAAAAGAGGGAATGAATTCTTCTACAAATTAAAAAAGATGAATACATATAATAATCAAATGTGGCATTGATCTTTGTTTTGATCTTGATTCACATCATTCAACTGTCCAACAGGTTTCTGAGCAATTGGGAGACTTTGAACAGGAACTTTATATTATATGAGAGTGAAAGTATTAGTAGGTATGATTATAACGTTAGAGTGACAAGATTTATTTATTTTTGTCAGTCATGGGGCTTGAACTCTGGGCCTGGGTGCTGGCCCTGAGCTCTTCAGCTCAAGGCGAGCACTCTATCACTTGAGCCACAGTGCCACTTCCGGTTTTCTGGTGGTTATTTGGAAATACGAGTCTCACTGCCTTTCCTGCCTGGGCTGGCTTTGAACCATGATCCTCAGATGTCAGCCTTCTGAGTAGCTAGGATTACAGGCATGCATTACCAGTGCCTAGCTGACACAAAAAATTTTAAAGAAAGCCTTACTAAATAAATTTAGAGGGCAAAATGACATTTGTGGGAGAGTTGACTTAAGGTAATTCATAAGAGGTAAAGAAAAGAAGAAAAAGTTATGGCAAAATCTTAATATTGTATGTATTAGTTTGCTAGTGCTGCTATAACAACATATCATAATAGATGGCTTAAAAAATACTCATTGATTAGGAAGCTAGGAGTTTAAGATTAAGGTGTCAGCAGGGTTGAGTTATTCTTAGACCCCTGTCCTTGGTTTGCAGGAAGTTGTTTTCTCAGTGTGTTCCCAGTGGTCTTTCTATATGTACACACATCTCTTTTTTTTTTTTTTCACACATCTCTTCTTTCTCCCAATTTCCTCTCAGTTTAAGAACATCAGTCAGAAGAGACCTGTAGGCCTAGCACTTAGGAGGCTGAAAAATGAAGTCCTCAAATTTGAGGCCAGCTTGGGCTATCTAGTGAGACACAGTTTCAAAAATAAAAACAAAACACAACAAAAAATACCAGTGTTTTCTCCATATATAGTAACATTCTGAGCACTGAGGGTGGAACTTTAATATATGAATTTACAATGATGCTACATATATGAAAGTTTATTATACACTTTAAATGTATATTACATACATTTAGAAGAGGACATAAAAATAGAAATGAACAGATTGAAAAACAATGGCCTGACCACTGAATGAGAAAACTATCTATCAGAAAGACGTCAATTACTCCTAAGAAAATGTATAATTTTTTACTTATCTCTAAAAATGCACTAATATTCATTTCCTAGAAATAAGCAAGGCTATAGTATATAGCCTTGTATATATAATTGTATATGTATTATAGTGTGTATATACATACACATGTATATCAATAAGAATAACAAAGCTGGGTGCTGGTGGCACACACCTGTTTCTCATATATTAGTTTGTTCAAAACCACAAGGTTTGACATGTCCACTTTCTTGTTGAGCTTGTGGAGAAAATAGACACTTTCATATATTAGTGTCTCTGTATTAGTTTGCTAGAGCTGCCATTAAAAAGTACTACAGAAGGGGCTGGGAAAGTGGCTCAGTGGCATGAGGCCCTGGGTTCAATTCCTCAGCACCACATAAGCAGAAAAAGCCAGAAGTGGTGCTGTGGCTCAAGTGGTAGAGCACTAGCCTTGAGCTGAAGAGCTGAAGGACAGCACCCAGGCTGAGTTCAGGCCCCACAACAGACAAAAAAAAGTGTTACAGAATAGGTGACATAAAAACCAAGAATTTATTATCTCAGATGTCTAGATGTTAGATATCTAAATTAAAGGTGTTGAAATGACTGGTTCCTGAGGGTTCTCTTCATGATTTGTATATGGCCATTTTCTCCCAGCCTCTTCATATGGTCATTCTTCCCATGTAACTCTATACAAGTTTCTTTTTTACCAGTAATAATTTTTATTTCAATCTCTTATAAGAAGTTCATCTATAGCAGAGGCCCAAAGTCACAAGTTAGACAAAAGTCACAAGTACTACAAAAGATAATGTTGATTTTGTACATGTCCCAGTACCAGGACCCTCAATATGACAAAGTGATGAATTTTGATCAATTTGTTTCATGCAATGTGTGAGAAAAAGTAGTATTTCAACTAATTTCCCAATAAGCTCATTTCAGCTTGATTAATTCCTAATTATCTCTTTCAAGACTGAAGTGATCTCCAAATGTATTCATATAGCAAGTGAGGGTTAGGGTTTCAATCTGAGTGTTTATAGGATACAATTCAATCCACAACAACCCTTATGAAGGGCACTCTAGAAATAACAACGATACTTACAAATCCATCACTCTTGACCAGCAATTCAATTTCTGGAAATCTGTGCTACAGCTATACCTACACACATAAGAAATGGCATAATCACACGTGTAAAGATATTCATTTCAGACTTAACGAGTCAGAAATATGAATTTCCTACTGCTTGATTGAACTGGTTCAATGCAAAAAAGATGTCATTGTGAAAAGAAACAAAAAGTTCTTTGCATGGTGTGAAGATCAATGCATTCATATTTTCCAGTATTTGCATAAAGAAACAAACACCTATAAGACAAAAAAGAATGAAATTGGCTGTAATGGGATGGACAGGAAAGGAAGTAAGGCTTTCTGTGTATTCCTAGTTATACAGTTTTTATTCTAAACCATATAAGATCAAAATAAATTTAAAGGATATATGTATGTGTACGTATGTGTGGTTAAGGAATATACAAGAATAAAGGATATTTTCACTTCTAAATGATGTAAATTCAAAATAATTAGAATTATGTTTATGTATAAATGAATAGGTATGTAGCTTGTATTGTATAAATAGAAAGATGTGTGTGTCACTTCCTAGCTTAGCCATGAAATCATCAGTCCGAGGAGACTAACTCTAATGTTTGCATTTTCCAGAATGGCCATTCTCAATTTATCCAAGTTGCAATGTAGGATTTCCACACTGTGCTCTCATGAAATAAAGAAAACCCTCGGGAGTCATAAATGTTCTCTTTCTTTTTCTTTGCAGAAAGGCACTGAGTATGAAGTCCAGTTGCATTTGACATTGACCAAAGTAGAGGCTGCCCAGGAGTTGTGGAGCCCCAGCTCTGGGCAGCACAAATGCCCTTGGGTGTGCTTCGCTTCAAGTAGATACAAGGGGCCCCGCTGAAAGTAGGGATGCCTGGCTGGGGGTGGGGGACCCAAGGGCTCCCTCCGCATCGAGCTGGGAGTGAGATTCCTGGAGAAAGCCCCCTTCCTGTCACTGCATCCACAGCACTCTGAGCCTGCTTGCAACCCTACAGCGTCTCCGAAGATGCTACATTTAAAAGTGCAGTTTTTGGATGATTCCCAGAAGATTTTTGTGGTTGATGTAAGTGCCAATCACATTGCTATTATTCCTTTATTATCCATTCAATAAGGGTCATTTGTGGACAGCCCATTAGCCGGCAATATTCTGTGTTCTTTAGGACCGAAGGAAGGAGGATGGTGTTTTGGTTTTTTTTTTTTTTAATTTGGAAAAGATAACTGTAGTTAATATCACAATGTAGTTTATGTTTTCCTATTAACCTTTTTTTTTCCAGAACATGTTCTCTGTTCTCAAGGGATAAGGAAAGAGGATGTTAAAGATATGCTAAGTATTTGGCAAAAAGCAGAGTAGCAATAACTTGGTTTTCCTACCCAATAAGGTATTATTATTCGTTGAAATTATTTGTCTGGGAGTCTCACCCTCTGAGCTTCTGAAGGAAAAGAAAGGGGAAAAGCTGCCCTCCTTTTAAAAAGAAAAACCTATGGGCTTAGGGTGGAGAATTATGCATTTATAACGAGACCTTCAGGAAGTAATGACAACTATGAAAGAGAAAAATAGGATAAGAGACGATTTAGTTTGATTTAGTACTTATAGTTCAGAGTTCTTAATATAATTCCTAGCTCAGAGATGATTGCATACAATTATATCTCATCTCCTCAAGAAAGAACAAATATATTAAGCACATCATTTGGTGTCCATGTTCTAGCATCTTAAGATACATACAATTTGATGTCAGAATTTATATATGAACATTTTGAAATGTTCCAATTTTTTTTTATCAGAACCCAAACTGCTTTTTATCCCCCTCTGATACTTATATTAGCTACTAACAAGGAACAAACAGTTCATTTTCCTGGAAATCTGTACAAAATGTTTGGTTGTTTTCATTTCTACATAAACTGACAAGTACTGTAGCTCAGCCGTGATATTAGGTATGTGGGTAGTCCATTTTTCAAATGAGTATTTCATTATTATTTGAATCGTGGGCTTTGGGAGGGTTGACTTCCTGGCTTCAGATGCTGTTTGCTGTCTCCTCCTTTCAGTTTTATGTGCAAAAGGCATTTCTAGGTCCATGGACCTGAATGATTTGTTTTTGTAGCAAATAGCTTCCATTAGAGGGATGAGGCATTTCCTATTCTTTCTTGGAACTATAGTTAAGGGATGGAAAATGTCTCTTGAGTAGTTTATCCATTTGGAGGCTGATGGTGAATGCTCACGGGGCTCCAATACCTGAATTAGTGAGCCGGACTATTCAAAAGACACTGCTTTAGGCTAAGTTTTAATAGAGATTGCAAGCCAGTCAAAGAAAAAATCTTTGACAAAAGGTGACAGAAGAGTTTTCTGAATATGCAGTCGTAATTCAGCTCCAATTACGTGGGGAGTGGGTAGCCCATAGCCACACAGCCCCAGAGCTGCGCAAAATTCACCTCCTGAAGAGTCTATTCTAGCAACACGATGCCAGCATGATTTGGCTGCAAATCAGATGGTCTCTTTCCAGCTGCAAGGCATTGTGTTCCTTGGGAACATAATGGGAGGGATTTGATACCTAGCAATTGTGGTGTCAAAGCATCCGATCCCTTTTGCTGTGTAGAAGGCTGCTTCCTAAGTAGCAATCATGGCGTTACCAAGAGTGGCAACAATGCTGGCTACAGTGCTGTGTGAAGCTTTGTTCAGAGAGGAAAGAACCTTGACTTAAGGTCCAATCATCCAACTGTATCTTCCATCTTATTTTTGTCAGTCATGGGGCCTGGGAGCTATCCCTCAGCTCTTCAGCTCAAGGCTAGTGCTCTACCACTTGAGCCACAGCACCACTTCTGGCTTTTTTCTTTTTGCTTATGTGGTGCTGAGGAATCGAACCGAGGGCCTCATGCCACCTTCCCAGCCCTGTTATCTTCCATCTTTAAACACTAGTGAATATGGTGGTGATGACAATGACTGACTAGTGGAGAGTATTTTTAAGATTTGCAAAGCAATGCCATAGATATTTGTTCATTGGATCCTCTATTCCATTCTATGAGTGACTGTGGGAAAAAGGTTTTTTCCCATATTGGTTTGTTTCGTTGTTTTTTTGTTTTTGCTGGTACTGGTGCTTGAGCCTCGTATCCTTGCTTGGTTTTTTCCACTCAAGGCTGGTGCTCTACTACTTGAGTCACATCTCCACTTCTAGCTTTTTGCTGATTAATTGCAAATAAGAATCTCATGGATGTGTCTGCTTGGACTGGCTTTGAACTGTGATCCTTCAATCTCAGCTTCCCGAGTAGCTAGGATTATAGGTGTGAGCCAGCAACATGTAGCTGTTTTTCTATCTTGTAAAGTAAAAAAAAAAATGGGGCTCAGGAAGCTTAAGTGGCTTGAGCAGGTCACACATACTCTAAGTACAGAGCTGGGATTTCTAATCCAGAACCACTGCCCCCAAACCTCTGTGCACAGCTGGATCCAAATGACTCACCTGTCAGTAGCCGTCTAAGCCTGAAATATTGCTTATGCAAATTATTCAAAAGGATACCATGTGCTTTGGTTTCTCTTTTGAGCCACTTAGTAGATTCTTTATTCCTTACTATGGAGGAGAAGCTAGGTGGAGAATTGGTCCCTAGAAGTCAAGCAGATCGTGGCACAGAACTTTTTACAGATTCAAACACATAAAAAGCAACCTGAGAAAACTTTCTCTTTTCTCAGTACGAGTGTCCTAAATAGGATGAAGAAATGCTTGGAATCATAACAAGAACTCATTAGTGGTTGAGCAAAACCATATGGAGTGGCTTCTGATATCAAACTGAAATGAAGTTTCAAGAAACATGGGTCATCCCCAGGGAGAATACTCCTTCAAAATAAGATTACAGAAGAAAAAAATAATTGGAAGAGGAACAGTAGAGGACTCACAGTTTCCTGATGATATATATATATATATATATATGAATATATATATATATATATATATATATATATATAAATGAAATAGCACAATGATCGTCATGCAAAAAGGACAAATGATCTGACCAAATAATGTTTGGGGAAGGCTAATTGAAATCTAGAACTCTTTATTCTATTTCCAGTGGCATTACCGAAGTGAATTTGCCAGTGTTTAAGGTCTGACAATTAAGAAGCCAGATTTCTCATCACTCCACATGAACTGAAGTCAGAGACTGATTATAAAACCAGAACTCCAGGACTAACAGTTACAGTGTGATCGGGAAAACTGGATTCCTCTTATTGATTAAATAGGAGGCCGAATGATGTCGTATCTGAGGAATTAGTTACATCATCGCTTGATAATGCATCCATCTCCACAAAAATAAATCCCTCTCACTGAGACCTTAGTAAATCATTTATTAATTTTATCATTTAGTTACATTATTACCAAAGTCCTGCTGGGTGATGGTTGTTCTTGTTTGTAATCCTGGCTACTCAGGAGGCTGAGATCTGAGGATAGCAGTTCGAAGCCAGCCCAAACAGACAAGTCCATGAAATGCTTATCTACAGTTAACTACCAAAAACCCCGAAGTGGAGCTGTGGATCAAGTGGTAGAGCACTAGTGTTGAGAAAAAAAATAGCTCAGGGACAGCACCCAGGGCCTGAATTCAAGCCCAAGGACCGACATACAAAAAATTATTATCAAAGACCTAATATTTCTCTGGCCTTGTTCTGGGCACAATTGACTCTACCAAGTACACACTCTTGGCCTGGACAGTGCTAGCTGGGCACTAACAATTTGCTTTTGGTGATTACTTTTTTTTTTTCTCATTGTGTGGTTGATATAGTGTGTTTGGGGGGAGGAGGGGGAAAGGGTAATTGTCCTATTCTGTTTAACATGTTAATGCTATCAGAAAAATGGCTTCGGAGGCATCCTGTTTGTTTGAACTTTCTTTGCTCTGGGGCTCTGTTCATTGATTTTATTTTTTTAGATGAACTCTGTAATATTAGTCAACCTTTTCCTTTACAAAATTTCAAGGGTATTTAAGGCTTTAAGGTAGATATGAGACTTCATGTTTTTGGAATGTGTTTACTGAGTATAATCCAATGAAGAAAATGAATTTAAGAACAACCTTATCTTAACATTTCAAGGTCTCCCATTTATGTAGTTATTGTCAAATATGGACATTGCGCTTAGTGCTGTTGTTGGCACGGACAATAGGAACTTGGACCACATATCCGTAGATGCTCAAGGGGGAGGGGCACTTTCTAGAATGATGATGAGAAGGAATGGAGAGAAGGAAAAGTGGAGTAAGGTAACTGTAAAATTAATCACAAATTTTAGTGTACATTTGCTTTTTGTGCATGAGAACCAAGAATATGCTTGATAGAAAAGAGAGGATGAAGCAAAGCTAAGGTTTTTCTGGAATCTTAGAGTCTAAAAAAATAGGATTTTTAGCTTGACTATGAATCCTCACCACCACCCCAGAGCTATTTGCTCATTTCAGGTTAAGATGAGAGTTTTATAAAACAGTTATCCCATCACCCAAACTGACACTGTTTAGTGCAAATCTGCCTTAACCTTTCTTGCCTGCTGCATTTCTATCTTTGGAGAAAATATTGTTTCCAAATGTCCCAAATCATGTTTCACTTTGATAGTTTATGGAAAGTGAAGCCATAGCAAGAGGTTGAAACATCTCTACAATTATATGTATCTAATGGCTAGATTATTGTGTTGGCCATGCACTGATTACCCAGTGAGATAACGCAGTGCCTCACCTGCTTCCCTGGGGACCCCATCATAAAGGCCACTAGGTGTCATTTGCTGACAGAGACAGAGATGAGGCAGTGTCTAGGGTGAGCAGTATTCAATTAAGAAAGCAAAGAATTGCCCAGTGATTGGTTTCTTTTGTCAATTTATGATAATTACCTTCGGAACATTGGTCTATGGGTTTGTTTTTCAACTTGTAATAATGAGGAAATCTTTTGTAGTTTGGTTAATAGTGAATTAGATCATCTTTTCCCTCCCCTCATAAGGCTAACTTTTTCTGTCCAAAAATGAGAGGAAATACTCTGGTGAAATAAAATGCACCTGCACATGAGACTACAAAAACTAGGCAGTAACTTATGACTCTTAGTTCATTGAGTTGCTT